TCAAGATTGAATTTTTTTTGGTTGAGAAGTAAAATAAGAAAAAAATTTGCCAGGTTTGGTTTTGCTCCAGGCAGTGTCTGCCTTCTGTTGGCCCCGTGCCTGGGAGCTGCTGTGAAATGGAAATAGCCCAACACAGACCTGGGAGCAGAGAGAGTTTCCAGCAGGTAACGTGTGAGCAGCACGCTCCATGGGGCAGATGTGCTGAGCCACAGGCAGGGTGCAGATGTTTTACTTGAATGTCTTGACAGTCATCCCTGGGGACCCAGTGCTTGTCTGGATCCCGTTCCCTATTGCCCCAGCTCTAGGAGATGAATAGGATGCATAGAAATGCCTGTGCAAGGAAGAGCTTCCACCTCTGGGCTGTCTCCACAAAGGTCCTGGAAAGCCTTCCCAAGTGCCGCAGGGCAGTGCAGGGAGATGTGCAGTTGCACAGGACTGTGAGGTGAGCTGGCTGCTGGCCTGGGATTGCTGAACTGGGATCACCTGTAGCTTCTCTCCAGATTGACTTGCCCTGGGATATAAAGGCATTTGCATGCATTGCTTCAATTCCCATCTCACTGACTTTCTCCACTCCAACTTCCTCCAATCCAAGAGAGAAGAGTGCTCCCAAGCCTTCCTCTCACCACTCAAATTGCTCTACATCTCCCTATCCTGGTTCCTCCTCTTTATCTCACACCTACTGCAAGTCCTCTTGGTTTAAGTCCCACTTCTCTCCCTCATAACCTTTTTTCCAGGGCTGCACTTGTTCCTCCCACTGAGCAGAGCCAGAGGGGAGTCCCTCCTGGCCCGGAGGCTCTGGGTGTCTGCATGGGCTTGCTGGGGGCTCACAGGCAGGCAGCAAGATCCTGCTGCCAGCTCCAGGCAAGAGGTATTAGGGAGAGGAACTGGACTGCCAGAAGGGTCATCTTACGGGAATTGGCTCCTTCTGGAAATAGAAAAGCCCTTTTTCTCTGCAGGGTACCAGAAAAGACCACTCTGAGGAATACTTGGAGGTCAGGGCTAAGTGCAGCATGTACGAAACTCCCTGTGTGAGTCACCAGGACGTTTCCTTGTTCATGAACCCCAGGAAATGGCACAGGGATGTGCTGGGTTATCACCCGGCATCTGCTGGAGTGACAACTGGTACCTCTGGCTCCAGGGGCCCATCAATACCTTCAGCATCCCACCTCAAGAAAGGATGGTCTGCAGAGAAGAAATCCTGTTCTCTGCCAGGCACTGTCATTCCTGCAGCTTAATGTGTCCCAAGCTGCCCATTCCAAGGCACAGGACGTGTGCTGGTCTGCGGCCACTCAAATTAAATGCCATTCGTCACAGCAAGCCCTGCGCCAACTTCATACTCATCAGCCTTGAGGGCTCTCCTCTTGGCATGGACAGGGGGATAATGAAGAAAAGACTTAATTAGAGTACGACACAAACCCATCTCATTTGATGACCTGCATTAATCAGGGCCTGGGGATAGTTTTCTCCACCTGACAGGTATCTGAAGTGAGCTGTGCGGTTGGGAAGAGAGAGAACAAGCCTTGAGTGTCTGGTCCTGCTGAGTTACCATCCATCATCTGTGGTACCTGCTGGCATGGGAGCAGCACAATGGGGTGAGGTGGGCACTGGTGACAAGGGAAGAGGTTTTGCCAGTGGGACATGGGGATGCTCAAGAGGTTTTAAGCAGCACCTAGACCTGGGATGGGTAAATTTGCTTATTTGGTGGTATTTTTGCTGCCATCTTTGCCATGCCTTAATCCACATTGGGCTACTGCTCAGACCACACAGCCACTGAGCTTCCCTTGCCAGGGAAGCAAGCTGGGGATGGGGAACTTGGACACATTCAATGACTTTTTTAGCTCGTTTCCCCCCTCTCTGAGCACCCGCGGGGTGTTTGCATGGAGATCCCTGACAGTCTTCCGGCAGCAATTGCCTTCACCAGCCACTTTTCCCTCTCCTGACTGCACTTGGCTACTGCTTATATCTGGTAGGTATCAAACGCGGGGCGCGTCTCAGACTCTTCTCCACATCCCCAGATCTCCTGGGAGTGATACAGTAGGCAGGGCGGGATGTCCGGCTCAGCTGCGCCCACAGAGGCTGTTTCAGGGGGCCGGGTAACCCCGCGGGCTCCCACCCGGGACAGGCGCTGCAGCCTTTTGTCACCATCTAGTGGAAACACGCAGCCGCGACCAGGCACTTGGTTGAACAGGACGTTTGGGGACACTCACTCCCCTGACCTGTGGTTCCTGTGGGGATCCCCCCGAGCTGGTCACCCATTTTTCATGGCTTTTGGGGAGGCCGTTTTGCCTCGCAGCCCAGCTTCCCCTCAGCCCTGGGCAGCAGCAGCTGGGTAAGGTGTCTCCAGTGCTGCCAGGCTCGGGAAAAGCATAGGGGATGAGTCTGCTGTGCCAGAAACTGCAAATCCATGGCAAATCCCTCCTGGGGTCTCCACTAAACCAGTTAAATTCCCTTTAACTGTGGAATTAGATCAACGCTCCCAAGCTGCAGACATGCTGCAACAAGAGACAGCCATAAAAGGACCTAAAGTATATTTACTGCACAAATAGAGCTGTTAAACCTGCTCTTTTGGCCAAATTACCCTTCATTGATGCTGCTCTGCAGACCTCCCTTGGCTCTGAAATTTCTGGCAGTGCCTGCAGAGGAGCGGGGCTGTGCTGTGCCACTGGGCCAGCCTTGCAATGTGGTGTGTTCCCAAAACAAGGCTAGCCTTGCTCCCCTCCAGCATCCTCCTGCCCCCTGCTAGGGCTGCCTGGAGGTCCTGACCACAGGTAGGATACAGGCCCAGCCTAAGTGTTGGAATCTGCAATGCCCTGGCTACCTTCCTCCCTGCAGCATCCCAGGCCCTTTATGGCCACAACAGCAGCTGGCAGGTTTGGGCCATATCCAGACCTGTTCAATGGATTAACACAACACTGTAGGCAGAGTTGGTTCTCACTCCTCTGCATGGGGGTGCTGTGCTCCTTTCCCTGAACATCGGGTCCTGCTGCACCCTCAGAGATGCCAGTGCCAAGGACAACCTTCCAGCACACTGCTGGGAAAAGAGCTGGAGCACAGGCCATACAGAAATGTCCCTTGCCAGGGCTGGGAACTGAGACTGGCCAGCTTCCAGCCCAGCTCTCCACTGATCCCACCACTGGCACTGTGTTATTAGACACACGCAGTGTCCCAGCAGCCAAAACTGCCCCTGGCTGGAGCAACAGTTGTCCCTTTCTCATGGCAAACCACCCCTCCCAAAGCATGGGGAGGAGCCAGGGCCAGCCCCAGCACTGGCAGCAGAGCTGTACAGGCAATCATAGTAGGGGATTTTGTTGCACTACATGGATGGCAAGGAAAGTGCAATCAGCTCTTGCTTCAGACAGATAAAAATGCCCTCCAGGTCTCTCTGTCCTCTGTCTCCATCACTCTGCAATCCCTCGGGCCACCCTGGGTCTGTGTCACTTCTTCCCCCAGCCACTTGGGGACAGCTCCTGCAGCACACAGTGGGACACGAGCCAGGCGTGGCTATTTCACTGCAGAGTCCAGCTGCCCTACACAAACGGTTTTCCCAGCTGGGATCCCATCTGCCTGCATATGTGACGAGGGCTGGGACACGGGCAGTCTCCCCTCTGTTCCAGCTCCCTCCCTCCTCGTACTAGCTGATGGTGGCAGGCTCTCCACAGGCTGGCTTGCTCCTGGAGAGGCTGGCTGATCCCATCACCTCTTTGTTAGCAGGTGCCTTCAGCTATAGGCTGCCTGCCTGGAAACTGCCTCTCCTTGCCCAGCAGAGTAGAACTAGGACAGCCTAGGAGCCAGTAATATTGGCTCATCCACAGTGTGTCCCTTGCTTTCAGGTGGCACTGAGCAACCCAGGGGTATCCCCTCAAAGCCATCAGGGCCATGGAGGTCTGCATTCTTTGAGGTCTGCATTTTTTTTCTTTAGGTCTCACTAGGATTTTGTGTTCCCCAAGTCAGGGGCTTCTCTCAAGCAGGCCTTGGAAGGGCAAACTGGTATGCACATGCCAGATGCACATGCCCGAGTCAGGAGACTCCAGGAGCTGGCTGGACACCCAGTATGAAGTGGGAGGGGAGGTAAGGCAGTGGGGAATCCGCATCAAAGGAGGACACTCCAGTCCAGGGGGAACACAGGCAGGGGGAACGCAGCACTCAGCCCTGCCAGCACACCAGCAAGTTAAACAGGAGCACCGGGGGTCATTTCTATCCTGACTTTACAACCACCGGGGTAAAACTCCACAGGATGAAATCTGGTATCTTCTTCCAGTGACTGAATTCAAAAGCATTCATCGGGCAAGCACGGGCTTATTTTTTTCTCCAGCTTTGTGCCTTTTCTCCCTGACGGGAGAGGTGGAGGGTGGCAGCTGCAGGGTGCTCCTGTGCCAACTGCAACCCCAGCAGCTGTACACTGACCAGTTCCTGCGGATTCTTCTTCCTGAGGGCCGGCAGAGGATGCCCGCGGGGGAGCGGAGCGGGGCTGGCACATGCAGCGCTGGGGAGACCCCAGCCCCAAAAAATAAGGCGAAAGTGTGCTCGGGCATGGTTCCAGTGTTCACGGGCGCCGCGCTGCCGCAGGGCCAGCCGTGGAGGGCGGGGATTCCCGGGGAATTCCCGGGGAATTCCCGGGGGTTTGGGGACCCCCGGTACCCCGGCTCTGCCGCACCACGTGGCTGCGCCCGCCACGTGCTCTCCCGCGAGCGCGGCCACGCCCCCCCTGCCGGCGCCCCACCGCCCAATCAGCACGCAGGCGCCGCGCTGCCTCTCCCCCATTGGCCGGCGCCCATTCCCCCCGGGCGGGCGGTGCGTCCCCCGCCCGCGCCCCCCGCCCCGCAGCCCCGCGGCTGTAACGCGCCCTCCCGTTGGCCGATGGCAGGGCGCCGGCCATTGGCGGAGGGGCTCGAGGGGCGGAGGGTGGGGATTGGCCGGGCGGCGCGGCGCTCGCGGCGATTGGCCCGTGTGGGGGCGGCGGGGGCGGGGCCTGGCGCGGGGCGAGCAAAGGGGGCGGAAGGGGCGCGCACTCGCTCTTTCGTGTCAGTGCCCGGCCCGGCCGCCCGCGCGTCCCCGCCGCTCCCGCCGCGCCACCGGCACCGCTCCCGCCGCGCCGCCGGCACCGCCCGCCCCGCGCTCTGCACAGCCCCGGCCGCCGCCCCTGCGCCGCCAGGCACTGCCGCCATCATGGTGAAGATCGCCAAGGTGAGGGCGCGCCGCCGGGGCGCAGCCGGCCGGGCGGGGGAGCAGGGCGGCCGCCGCCGTGGCGTGGCGGGTGGGGATGGGGATGGGATGGGGAAGCAGGGAGGGAGCCGGGCCTCCTTCCTGCCGCTGTTCGCTCGGGCCGCGCGGCGGATCCGGGCCTGCTCGGCCTCGCCGTAAAGATGGCGGCGAGGGGAGGGGCCGCGGCTCCGGAGGGAGCGGTTTCGAGCCCCCCCCCGTCCCGCTGCGCTCGGAGCGGCGGTCGCCAGCGGGGCGCGGGGCTGAAGGGGAGGGTCGGTGATGGGGGGGGCCCGTGTGTGTGAGGGACGGGGGGGGGGGAGCACCGCGTGTAAGGGCGCGCGGGACGGGGGGGGCGGGGCTACGTCACCGCGCGGCCACGTGGGGCGCGGGAACTGCGAGCACGTGGGAGCGGCCCCCGGACCCCCGCAACACCGAAAGGGCCCCGCACACCGGCCGTGGGAGACCCCCACACCGCCCCCCCTTTACCCCGGGGCGGCCCCTTGAGCGCCGCGGGGGCGGGCGGAGCGGCCACGTGGTTGGGACAATTGTCCGCCGGAGCGCGGGCGGGCAAGGTGTGCACGGAGCTAAACGTGCTGCCCGCGCTCTCTTTCAGACCCCGAAGAACCAGATCAAACAGAAGAAAATGGCTCCTCCTCCGAAAAAGTTCGAGGAGAGCGAAGAGGAAGAGTCCTCTGACCTAGACGAAAGCAGCGGAGAAGAGGTGATGGATCTATAGATAAAAGTCGGAAGGATGCACGTGTTACAAAAGTGTCATGGGGCCTATGGGTTACACTGTGGCAAAATGAACATTAATAAACAATCGGTGTCTGTCAGTTAACTGTGGCTAAAAAATAAAGTGAATTTTATAAGGCAAAAGCAATAGGGAGGAAAACTAGCTTAGAAATGTAGAAAAGTCTGTACTTCCAAGCTTTGGAAGGACTGCTGGGATCTCAAAGCTGTCCTAAAGCTGATGAGCAAGTAGGTGAATATTAACTCTTGTAGAGCACAAATTATATGCAAATCTAAAAGTTTCAACCTATTAAATGCTATTAGAGATCACTGGTCTTGCTTCAGGGCCAGGAAATTTGGAGGGGCTTGAACGTTACATAAGTAATCTGTTAAAAGCATGGAAAATGTGGGTTTGGTCTTTATTAATTTAACAGGATGGGTAATTAAGGTAACTTAACAGAAACTGTCAGAAGGTAATGCTTTAGATTGCAGTTGCTGTATGTTTGTCTGATATTGACGTAATTGTGGCATAAAGGGGCAGCATAAGAGTCTTATACTAATGTGTCTTTCAGATGATCCCTCAGAAGAAACCACAAAAAGTAGCTGTTACCCCAGCCAAGAAGGTTGCTACACCTGCAAAGAAGGTTGCTACTCCTGCGAAAAAGGCAATTACACCTGCAAAGAAGGCTGTGCCTACTCCACAGCCCAAAAAGGCTGTTGCTCCATCACCTAAAAAGGCAGCTGTCCTAACCAAAGGAGCAAAAAATGGAAAGAATGCCAAGAAGCAAGAGAGCGAGGAGGAGGATGACGACGAAGATGATGATGAAGATGAGGAGGAGGATGAGGAGGAGGATGAAGAGGAAGAAGATTCTGGTAAGTTACTTTTGAAATATGCATTGATCCTTGTATAAGTTGTGGGAGAGGTGGGGAATCGGTGAAGTCTGGAGGAGAACTTGGGCTGCAGCTGCATTACACACAGCCCGTGAAGCACCTCCTAGTTTCCTGACTGTTCTTTGCTGAACTTTGTAAAAATCTTGTGAAACAAAATACTTTTTACCCATATCACTCAGTCTTCCAGCCTTGATAATAAAGACTTGTTGTACTTTTGATGCAGATGAGGAAGAGGAACCACCAATGCCTGTGAAGCCTGCAGCCAAAAAGCCTGCAGCAGTACCAGCCAAAAAGCCTGCAGTTGTGCCAGCAAAGCAGGAATCTGAAGAGGAGGATGAAGAGGATGATGAGGAAGATGATGATGAAGAAGATGATGGTATGTGGGATTTAGGGAAATTTTGTCTGACTGTTAAAAAAGGGTGGGTAACTAATAAACACTTATAGGGAGCCTGGGAAGGGGAGTAACTTAAAGAATTAGTGGGAATGATGCAGTGTGTGTGCTCATCTGGTTTTAGCTGGTTGATGTTGTCCATATGGCTGAATGGGTGTTAGTTTATCCCTGTTAGTAAAACTTCTTACTTTTGGTGAACGGGTATTATTTTTTAGTGCAATAAAACTTTAGGGGGAGAGGCAGCTTTTATAAACAATAACTATCAGACTTCTTTCTTGAGAACAAACAAATTTAAGGAGGTGCGAGAAACACTACTTTGCTTCACAGAATTTTCTTTTCTTAGTCTCAAAAGAGGCTTAATCTGAAACTGACTGAAATACTGTGCTTAACTTGTTTCAGAGTCTGAAGATGAAGCCATGGACACAGCCCCTGTTCCAGTGAAGAAAACCACTCCAGCCAAGGCCACACCAGTGAAAGCCAAGGCAGACTCTGAAGATGAGGAAGATGATGATGAGGAAGACGATGAAGAGGATGATGAGGATGATGAAGAGGAGGATGCTGAGGAGGAAAGTGAGGATGAAAGTGAGTTTAAATGCTTTTGAGATCATAACTACTCAATAACAGGAAGGATGGCTGAACAAAAATTTTGTCCTGTCTTTTGGGCTGAGGAGCAGTTGTTCTATGACAAGAAGTCTTGTGTATGACTGGTGTAAAGTTTAATGCTCCTGTGTTGATTCTGTATAGGAAGAAGTTCTGTATTTTTCAGTGTTGTTGTTTGTTCTCTGTCACAGAACCTGTCAAGGAAGCACCTGGAAAGAGGAAGAAAGAAATGGCCAATAAAAGTGCACCAGAGGCCAAGAAGAAGAAAACAGACGGTAAGTACTGTGGGATCATCATACTTTTTTGATGGACTGAGATTGGACTGCTGGGTGAGGAACAGAACTGTGAAGAGCCAGAATGCCAGGGGTGGGGTTTCCCGGCACAAATGATGATTATAAGGGACTTAATACTGACACATGATGTCACTTTTGAGCAGAAACTGATGTGCTGAAGTTGTCTGGAGTCTGGCTCCCAGTTGTTAAAAAAACTGTCTTAAAAAACCCCACTTTATTATCTTTTTATTTAAAGGGCCTGTGTCAGCTTTCTCCCTCTTTGTGGGAAATTTGGTCTGCACCAAGGAATTTGAAGAGCTGAAGGCTGGCATCAGAGAATTCTTTGGGAAGAAGAATATTGAAGTTTTAGATGTCAGAATTGGTGCTTCCAAGTGAGTTCATCAGCAGAATTCTGCTGCTTATTTCTTCTAATTGGCAATAATTTGTTTAGAGGGGTGCAAGTGTGCTCATGCTGATTGCCTTCAACATGGTTTGCTTGGTAGTGTATGGAGGAGCTACAGTACTGATAAGGGTTTAATACTTTGCCTGGTGTGCAGCTATGTCAGAGTGTCTTCCTAAAGGGAGAGCTGCTGCTGCAGAGCTGTTCTCTTAGGTGGAACAGGTAGCACTTAATTTATTACAGTCAAACTTGACCAGTGGAAACCCCTGGGTTTGGGTTTCTGTTTGTGGTCTTTGCTGCCAGAGGGAGATCATTGAGATATTAAGGCTACTGTTGTTTCAGGCGGTTTGGCTATGTGGACTTCTCATCTGCTGAAGATCTGGATAAAGCTCTCCAAATGAATGGAAAGAAGTTAATGGGTTCAGAAATCAAACTGGAAAAAGCAAAGAGCAAGGAAACTATGAAAGAAAATAAGAAAGGTATGGGCAATAACTCTGCATAGCTGTGTACATCAAAGAAGAGTTGTTACAATGGGAGCTTGGAGCAGGCTTGGGGTATTACTGATGCCTGCTTTTCTACTCTGTTATGGCAGATCTTTGTGCTCTGGCCTCTACATAGTAAAGTTTCTCAAATGCTAACATGTAGATGTGCAAGTTCAGACTGGAATATCTGCAAATGTGGTCCCAAGAAATAGTACATATTGTGATGACTTTGGAGGAAATGTGTAACCTTTAAAGCTTTAGGACCTGTTTCCTGACCTTGATGCCCTTAAAAGAAGTTCAATGGCAGCATCGTTAACTTTCATAATAGTTGCTTTTGCAGCTTCTGAAAATGTGAATACTTGCTGTGGTTTATTTTCTGCTAGATAACTTGCTGGCAGTGGCAGTGGCAGTGGAGAAGAGGGGGGATTTTTAGCTGGTGACCTGAAAGTAACTTTTCTCTCTTTGCAGAGAGAGATGCCAGAACACTGTTTTTGAAGAACCTGCCCTACCGTGTAACCGAGGATGAAATCAAGGAGGTGTTTGAAAATGCAGTAGAAGTCCGGATAGTACTGAACAAGGATGGAAGCAGCAGAGGGTGTGTAGCTGAGAGGACTGTTGGATGTTTGCTGTTCCTTTGACTCTTGGCGTATTTTGATAAGCTTGTGTGTCCTTTAGCTGCCTTAAAGGAACCTGCTGCATTAGGTATACTGAAAAGGCTACTTTTTGCAGCATTTTTTTTCCACATCCTTTCCTCCCCCCATTCATGAGCTTTGTCATTTCCAGAAGGAGACATTTGCTTACATTCTTTCTTATGCTGTAGGATGGCCTATGTTGAATTCAAAACAGAAGCTGAGGCAAACAAAGCTCTGGAGGAGAAGCAGGGCACGGAGATTGAGGGTCGTGCTGTGATCATTGACTTCACTGGTGAGAAGAGCCAGCAAGAACATCAGAAAGGTACTTTTCCAGACTGATAACGTGCATACAAATGACATTCAGGATTTAAGTCCACTTGTTTCAGAAGTTTTCTGTGGGTATGGCAACTTTAAGCACTGCAAGAAAACTAAGATATCAGGAAGGGCCCTTTTACCTGACTTGTGCTCTGCATCCTATGCATTTTATGTCTCTACTGCATGTTTCAGACAAGGTGGGTCAGCAGATCTAGGTGACCAAAACAGGGTTGGATTTGACTTTGTGCCTCACCTTGAGACAAGGAGAAGGCAACAACTACTCACCCTTAGACAGGGTCTGGTAGCAAGAGGAAGAGAGCTCTCCTCCAATCCTGCACTTACAGAACTGACTTTTTCCCCATAGGAGGTGGAGAGAGGGAGTCAAAGACCCTAATCGTCAACAACCTCTCGTACGCCGCTACAGAAGAGACGCTCCAAGAACTGTTTAAGAAAGCTTCTTCCATCAAGCTGCCACAGAACAACCAGGGCAGGTCTAAAGGGTATGTTGTGCCTTTCTCCTGCCTCCCCCCCCCCAGACTGGCATTGTGAATGACTTGCCTCCAGATACTCCCTGTTGCTCCCAGGCTGACTGAAATCTTCCTGTCCATATAGGTATGCGTTCGTAGATTTTCCCACAGCTGAGGATGCCAGGGAGGCATTGAATTCCTATAACAACACAGAGGTTGAAGGCAGAACAATCAGACTGGAGTTCAGTGCACCATCATGGCAGAAAGGGAACACGAACGCACGAGGAGGATTCAGTCGTAAGTGTTGCATGCTTGATCGTGAAACAGCTGTGTCGGGAGGGCAACAGTCAGGCAAACTTGGGGCTGTTTTAAAACAAAAAACTGCGCCAATGGAGTAAAAGATCTGCATTGTAAGTGAGTGTGCTGGATATGATGACTGATTATCTGAATTGCTGATGAAACTGTTGTCAAATTCCTCTAGATAGTCAAGTGCTGATCCAGCAGTGTCTGTACAGTTAGTTGTTATCGCTGTTGATAAGATGCAGGCATCTATTTTACAAAATGGGGGAGCAGGAAGAACTTATTTTGACAGTTATCAGGTTGGCGAATGGAAATCCTTTGATGTCAGTTTTTAACTGCAATCTTGGAAGAGTTTTCACGGGTTTGAGGTGCCTGAGGTGTTACTTGAAAACAGCCCCATCATCCCTGGGACCTGTTCTGCGAGCCAGTAGCGCAAGCTGGATGTGATAAGAAGCTAAAGGTTCCTTGTTCAGGTTGAATGACCTGTGAATATATTCCTTTTCCATAGAGCAAAGCAAAACGTTGTTTGTCAGAGGCCTTTCTGAGGACACCACGGAAGAGACACTAAGAGAATCATTTGAAGGCTCTATAAGTGCAAGAATAGTCACAGACAGAGACACTGGATCATCTAAAGGGTATGTTAAACATCCCCTGGGATCAGTTCAGGTGCTACAAAGCACCTCACACTGATCTGTGCAGTGGGGGAGGTTCTCATGCTCACGTGGGTAATTGTGTGAAACAACTAAATTGGGTGGAAGCAGAGAAAGAGCATGGAGTGCAGCACATGCTCACTTCTCACCTCTTCTCAATGAGCTCCTTCCTGCCAACAAATCCGTGGCAGCTGATGGATTCGCACGAGAAGGATATTAACTGTTCAGTACTGGCAAACTCACAGTGGAGATCCATTGATTGTGATTAGCCACTGCTGTCCTACACGTGACATGTGTGTGAGATGCAGAAGTGCCAGTGTTTGTTTCTGAAGGGATTGCTGTCGGGTACCTGAAGGTGGTGCTGCAGCTCGCAGAGTGCGACTGACTGTCATTCTTGTAACCTGTTCTCTAGGTTTGGATTTGTGGACTTCAGCTCTGCAGAAGATGCCAAAGCAGCTAAAGAAGCCATGGAAGACGGAGAGATAGATGGCAACAAAGTGATCCTTGATTTTGCCAAGCCAAAGGGTGACTTCCAGCGTGGCGGCGGATTTGGTGGTCGTGGCGGCAGAGGAGGCGGCCGAGGAGGAAGAGGTGGATTTGGTGGCAGAGGTGGTGGCAGAGGAGGATTTGGAGGTAAGAGGAGGCAAATGCTTCTGTTCTGAGGGGGTGTGCTCAGAAATTAACCCAAAGCCATTCTTGGGGTTATGATGTGGGGCTACCACAGAGCAATGGATTTGAATTTATTTTCTGTCCTGTGCCAGGATGGCTTTGGAAGGGCCAGTGGTATATATTACATATGTCTATAATATATATATGTGTGCATATATATATATATACACATCATATATATTTTACCTCTAACTCTGTTTTTTGCAATAATTTTCTTTTTAGGTAGAGGTGGCTTCCGAGGAGGCAGAGGAGGAGGTGGAGATCACAAGCCACAAGGAAAAAAGATAAAGTTTGAATAAACTTCCCCTTTCCTTCCCCTTCTTCTGCTCTCCGAGACTATCTGAAAGGACTCCGGGGGTTTTTATTCTCCTTTGATCTTGGCGGAGCCTTCGGAGGACATTCCAAGAAGCGAAGCAGTACTGTGAGCCACTTGGAAAATACTAATTTTCATTTCAAGGAAGCGAGAGCAAGCCATTTTGACTGCTTGCCTGTTCAAAGGAACTTTTTAAAAAAAAACACAAGTGATAGATGTGGGAATTTACCCCTTGTCTGTGAGTTGTCTTGAATTTATAATGTTTTACCATGTACAAATTTTTTTTTCCTATAAACTTCTGTAGCATTTTTGCTGTAAAAATGCAGAATGTTTTATCATTTGTGCTTCAGCACCCTGTCTTGGACAGATTAAAGGACCTAAACTGGTTCGTGTTACTTCTGTGCCACTAAATGAAGCCAGGCTGGGAGAAAGAGGCTGTCTGTAGCCTTCCCTCTCTTGTATTAAGGTCATTAGTGTCACAGCAGCAGCTTCTGTCCTGCTTTGCTTGAGCTTGTGTCAGCTCCCAGCTGTGTGTGTGTGCTGTGTTAGAGTGCTTGCAGGAAGGAGGGCAGAAGAATATGATTGCCGAGGTAAGCTCTGTGACCACAACCATGTTTTATTTTATTTTTTTTAACTAAAGGTGCTGTGATGGTGCTTAGTAGCCAATTGCTCTTTTACATTCTTTTTAAACAAATGAGTAAATCAGGTCTTGTACTAAGGCTCTGCAGCTCAGTTGCTCCATCCTGCAGGCATTTCCTCTTGTGTATCATTCCAAATTGTCTCCTCTTGAGTTGTCCCTAAGTATGAAGTAAATACATTGAAACAGGAGGTCGGGGTAAGTGGCTGCTTACACACAGGCCTTCTGCTGTTCTTCAGGCTGGGTCAGGGTGACTGCCTGGAGATGATGGAGCACAGTGGCAATGGTGACCAGCCAGTTTCTCTAGCCAGGGATATGGCTGCTGTCCTACAGTGGCAGCTGTTGGGGTACAGAGTTTCTCCAAACGCGGGTGCAGAAAGCAGGCACGGAAAGCAGGGCTCTGCCTTCCTGCATGCAGGGACCCGCAGGCTCAAATGTCGGTGGCCTGTGCCCTGCTGAAAGGTCCTGCCCTGGGCTTTGGCATTCCAGCCACGTTCCAATGACCTTCATCGTCGGCTCTGGCTGCAGTTACAGACTGTTCCACCCTCCAGGCCCGTTGTACCAGCGCTGGGAACTTGGCAGAGCCCTTGCAGCCCTTCTTGTGGCTTCCCAACGTTGAGCCCTGGGGGAGCAGGGATTCCCTATGACTTTAATGTTTTATGTTAACCAGTGGTGGGGGGCGGTCGGGAGGGTTACGGTTTTTGTGTGTTCTGTTTGTTTCGCGTCCTGCCCCCCCCCCCCGTTCCCCCCCAGTCCCTTGCCCGAGGCTCCCCCGGCCCTTTGGAATCGGCCATTTTGGAGCCGCACGCGCGCCCCGCCGGCAAATGGTCGGAGGGCGGGTCCGGCCGCCAGGGGGCAGCACCCGCCCGCTGTTCCCGCCGGGACTCGTCCCTCAGGACACACCGGCTCGTGCACCGGGATATGGGCCCTGCGCCCACTCCAGCACCCTGGGATGCTGGCTGGAGCATTCCCTCGCACCCCAGTACCCGGCAGTGGAGTCCCACAGTGGGACATGACAGCTCGGGGTCACACTGGAGCAGGAAAGGGCAGGACCACCCACAAGTGTACCTGCCTTTGGTCTCCATGTGTGAAATTTTTGGTGCGGCTCCAGTGGCAGGTGGCCCAGCCTACCAAGTCCACCATGCCGTGGTCTGCTTTGCTGACCTCTCTACTCCCCATCACCATGTGGAGCAGCTGAGCTGGGAGCCAGCTCTGGAAACAGCCCCCAGTGCCCTACAGGCTCACATGTGGCTTTCCTCTTCTTCACCCCAGCCGGGTTCAAACCTGATGTGGGTTTGTCCCTGAAGATGCAGCTCACTCTGCTCTGACATACATCCCCCACTGCCCTGTGGCCAGGGCTTGTGTCACCTTGTGGTGGAGCTTTGGTTGGGGCAGAGGGGCAGTGAGGAAGGTCTTGCCGTGGGGAGGGTGGTGGGCACAGGAGGTGTCGATCTCCTTCAGCGGGAAAGGGTGTTCAACAAAACAGGTGAGCTTCCAACCCTTCTGAAGTGACCCTTGTCATGGAGGTCAAGATGAGAAGCTCCTCACTGCAAGGCACCAAGAGGATCCAGAGTTTAGCTGGGTTTAAAATGGAGGTGGAGGAGTGCATGAAAGAGAAAATACCTGCCGGCCTTGTAAACTCCATGCCAGGCTCCAGGAAGCTGTGCCAGACTGGAACAGGGCAGCTACAGTCCCCAGATGTCCAGTCCAAGCAGTAGTTTTGTCACTGTAGCCCATTGCCAGGTTTTGTTCCCAGCAGAAACCCACTAGTAACAACAGGAGCTGAGGGCTTGTAGGATTTTTTTCTTCCTCTTTTAACCTTTATTTAGAAACTAGAATATTCACCAAAATCTACAAGGTTTCTCTGTACAGGTCCCACCAGGTGAAGAACAACACAGAGAAATGTCTGCACGCAGCCCTTGCTCCCTGTACACGTTGCTACAAAGAGCAAGAGCCAACCCTGCATACAGGATAAATAAACTGCCCAAAGTACTGTACCTGACATAAATTATGGAGGTGTCAATTTGGAAAGTATTTCTGAACTCACTCCCAGTGGAAGGAGGGAGGAGAGGGGAAAGGAAAAGAGTGTTGTGTGCTGCCTAACCTATCCAGGCACCAAAAATGCCCTCAGGGCTCTGCCCTGCACTGCTGGCACTTGCCCCAGGGACAGGGTGAGTGCATCGTACATCAAATTTCACAGTATCACTGCCAGCCAAGCCCTGGGCAGCACTGGCTCTTGCTCTTTCTCCTCTTCAAATCTGCAGACAGGTACATTTGCCTAGAGTGGCGTGGCTTGGTGTGAGGTGCCTTTTTTAACTGGTTTATGCCCTTTTTTAATTCATTTTCTAACCTGGGGAACATACAGACTTGGAGTAAACGAAACAGGCCCATTTCCAAAACACATTAGGAAAAAGAAAGAAGGAAAAAAAAGGCACTGCACAGGGGGACCTTTGAGGTAGTCAAAAGTTTTTCCTTTCAATGTCTGGCACCAGAGAGGGAGAGAGCGAGCGCACCTGTGCCTGCATTTCGCTGTGCATGGTCAGGGCCAGGGATGTGGCTGTGCTTGTCCACCCTGTGCAGGGACATCTGAGTGTTCAGACCCTGTGCCTGGGAGCTGGCACAGCCCTACCCATGCACATGTGTGGCTTTGCTTTGCTCACACCTGCAGTCGGTGGCTGGAGAACATCCATGGCCCTCTCGTGGCCATGTGTCTCTCTGTGTTGGGTGTTTCCATCACAGCAGCTGACCCAGGGCTCCCCTAAAGAGCCTATGGCCCTTCCAGCCATAAAAAGGGCCACGTCTCATGACACAACTCCCTGTTGTGCTCCTGCACCTCATCCTGTAGCATAAACACTGCAACAACCCTGAGAAGAGCAGATGTGGTGTGAAACACCAGCCCTCCTTTACCTTGTCCCCTTGGACCCTGCTCCACGTGCTGGGGCAGGACCAGTGCTCCCCAGTTCACCCTGGAGCATCACAGTTGCTGCCAAACCAGGGCTAAGCCTGAAGCAGCCATGCATGGGGCCTTTGGGGGCTGTTGTCCCCCTCCAACCAAACCCACCAGGGCAGCCCTGCTGCAAGGAGAGGGTCTCCCCAGAGGAAACCCCCAGGATGCCTGCACCCAAGCTGAGGTCCCAGGTGTAACAAACCCCCGGGCCACTCTAGCTGGGGGCCACCAAGTTTCTCTGCCACTTCCTGGGCCACAGGCAAGGACAGTCTGCCTGGTCTCTTCTCTTTCCTGCCAGGAGGATCAAATCCCTGAGGAATTTCAGCTGGGTGCATTCCTCTGAGGGCATGCACAGCAAGGCCACAAAGGGTCTGGAAGCCACCATCGCCTGGGACCCTCTTATAGGGACAAAGACCCTGGTGCCCCAACTGCCATGCTGAAATCCTAAGGGGACCCAGGGCTGCTGAGGGCCAGCCTCGGAGGAGAGCCCCTTCCCCCAGCTGCATGTGGGGACACAGAGAGGATTTTGATGGGGATAAACCCAATGTGCACAGGGTCAAGGTCACCGAAACCTTGCATGGAGGAGAAATTTGAGATAACAAATAAAATCCCTTGATTTTTGTGTTGTGGGGGGCTGATGCACTTGCGATCAGCCGAACTCCCTTGGAGCAGCTTCCCTGGATAGCCAGACCTGAACACCTCCAAAAATGTGCCACATCCCTCCCTGCCTCCCCGACTCCTTCACTTATCACGCTCCTGTGAAGGAGGTGCTTAAAGCAAAGCACAAACCTCTGTGCCTTCTCTCTCTCTCTCTCTCTTTTTCCATTTTGTGCTTGATTTGTCATGTTGTTATTTTTTTTTCTTTTTTTTTTTTTCAGCAACCCCCAACCCAGCTGGAGATAAGCGAACCACAATACAGTACAGGAACAAACACTATCACAAACCCTGCCCGCGAGCCAAACCCTGCCCACGAGCGCAAAGTCTCTGCCCTCCTTGCCCCGGAGGGAGATGCCCCCGAAGGATTCATGTGCCACCAGCAGAGGCTCACCCCATTCTGGAGCAGGGATCAGCTGTCCCAGCCCCTCCAGTCCCAGCTCTCCAGAGAGACTGAGCTAAAGGACATTGAGTTTTCTTGAGCATGTCAAGTTACTGTGGACCAAGTCCCACATTTGGAGCAACTCTGGAGGCAGCAGTTTATGAACCACCAACATACTCCGGAAAAAACATGGCTCCTTGTTCATCTTGCTGTTCTTGTTCTTCACAATGCCAAAAGTTTTGAAGCCCTCATGTCCAACAGGTGATACTTTAAGGACCTCCAAGCACATCCCTAGGAAGACGTCATCGATGGGGTACAGCTCCAGCATCTCCGAGGTCTTGTGCAGCTTCTTGGCCAGGGGTCCATCCATGATGAAGCCCCCACCCCCTGCATAGGGTGGGTAGATGTTTTTGTTGTAGAGGGCACTGGGGATGTAGTACTTGTTCTCCTTCTTACGGATTGGCCTGGCCTTGTGGAGGACATCCCCCACAAAGAGGTCCTCTCCCTCCTTCTTGTCCTCCAGGAACTCCAGGATGTTGCTGGGGCTCACAAACACATCATCATCACCTTTGAAGATGAAGCGGACGTTGTCACAGTAGATGTTGAACCACTTCAGGAAATGGACCTCTTTGAGGGTGAGGTTGAAGAAGCTGTCCAGGAAATCCCACTGCAAGATGTCGCCATAGATGTGGTTCTCGTAATCCAGCAGTTTCTGGTAGTTGGCTCTCTCCTCCTCCTTGGAGGCCGTGCCCAGCAAGAACAGCGTCCTGATCCTCTTGCCCTCCACCTCCTTCTCCTGGCCCCAGGTCCTCCGGATGGCCTCGCGGCGGTCGTGCTGTGTGATGATGGACTTGACCACGATGAGCAGGTAAACGTCCCCACTGCACTTCTCCGGGTGGTTGATCAGCATGGGGAAGTATCGGCAGTGCCGATAGAGCAGGAACTGCTGGAAGTTGGGCTCCAGCCCCTTGAACCAGTCCACCTTGCTGAAGTTCTGGTTGGCTGAGCAGTTGGTAGTGGTGACATCCCAGAATTTTGTTTGCTTTGCTGTCACGCTCTCCTCTTTCACAGGAGCTTTCTCCTTCTTGGTCTTCCAGAAGGTGCTGGTGATGGAGAAGGCGTTGTCTCTCTTCTGTGTTTTCAGAGGTTCTGGAGGGGGCAGGTCTTTTTGCTGCTGGCCCTGCATGAACTGGTTGGGAGCCATTCCTCGCTGCAGCACCGTCACCGTGATGACCAGCAAGAAGGAGAGACAAACCGTTTTGTAGATGGTCTTCTTCCTAAAGGTACGAGATGGGGGTTAAGGAGAGGAAACTGCAGGCTGCGAGAGACCTGTTTGCAAAAGCACCTCCTGGAGAGGTCATGGGATACTCATAATCTGCATCCCATCATCTTTTGACGAGCAAAAGCCTCATGGAAAGAGCTGTGGGACACCTTCACAAATGTTCTTCTCACCTGCATCCCACTTGTGGGGTGGCTCTGGGGCCACACATAACTGCAGGGACAGGCTCAAGGCATGTGGCAGGTGACTGCAGAGTCATCTGATAACCCCAGTGCAAAGAGCTGGGAAGGGTTCAGGGGGAAAAAAAATGGGCTGAGAAAGATGAAGTCAGGGTGAGAGTTTTGGCAAGGCAGCCGTTTTGGAGGAAAGTCCCAAGGGAAACCTCTGTTTCAGCCATCTGAAAATTGCAGTTTAGGACAAGAGCAGAAGAGAATTATCTTTTCTATAGAAGCATTAGCTCCAAGACACAGACATATTGCCCATGGCCCTAGACTGGCAACACTGAGAAACCAGAGCTGGGAAGACCACGAGAGTCAACATGAAACTGGCATTATTATTCCTTTCCAAAATGGCACATCGGGACAAAAGAAGAAGTCAAACTTCAAGACTCAGTGGGGAAAAGACATCCCTGACGCTGTAATCACCTTGGGAACCAGCATTTCTGGAGGCACTGCTGGGCGTTTTGGCCAGCTCTTGGGTCCCACTGCTTCCTTTGTGGTGATAAGGAGCAGTGGACTCAGGGCAGATAGGGGGACAGATTTTCCCAGCCTGCAGCAACACAGGTGTCTGCATGTCCAGGGTGTGTAGGGGACTGGGTAGATCAAACCCAGCCCCTTGTGGGGCCATCCTGCTTCTCTCCTTCACTGCAGACCCATCTCCCAGGGAAGCTGCTGGCTCATGGGACAAACCTTGGACAGAACTCATGGGGGGATTGAGCAGGATCCTCCTGAGGTCCTTGGGACAGTGGGAAGGCTGCACTCAGAGATTACTGAAGCGCAAATTCCCCCAATCCACTTTTCCACACAGGTAAAGGTGGGTTTCTCTTCCCACTTCTTCAGAGGAGAGGAACTGCCCTCTCTGCCCATCTGAGCTATGCTGCTCCCAAATGCTTGGCTCCCCTCCACATCTGGCACATCTGCACCAATTCCATCCCGCCAAAGTCCTGTGCAAGTGAGCCATCTCCCTGTGCAAATGAGCACTGGGCATGGGGGGATGGCAGCTGACCTCCTCATGCCCACTCCTGACAGCTTCCTAAGGGCAGTCCCATCTCTGTCTGCTCCAACTTGCTTTCCCTGCCAGTGGGTGAAAAGGACCTTGGCTGGGGAGCTGAAGGAGACAGACATGGCACTGGTCTTGTGACTCCCATGAGCCTGTCCTCTTGGTGACAGAAGCATGTCCCAGCCTGGGTGACACCAGCTGGGGACAGCCCTCAGTCTCCCACTCCAGAGAGCCAGAAAGATCCAAAATCATCTCTCAGAGGCAAATGGCATCTTCACTTTGGGACAGTCCAGAGAAGGAGCTTGGGGCTGGAAGTGAAAACATTTAACCCAAGTATTTTACCCAGATAGCCAAAAAACCAAAAAAGCCATGAAACTCTCCTGGACCTGGGGGCCTGAATGGGATCAGCACTGCCAGGAAGCTGCTGGGGCTTTGGGCCACAGGCTGCAGCAAAGCACCTGCTTGGTGGGACACCCTGTAGCCCCTCAGGCTCCCTGGGACAGGGGTCAGCATTGTCCTTGGGGACTCCAGCCACCCTTAAATGCAGGAACCCCAAATGGGAACCACAGGAACCGGGAGCTTTCAGGAGCTCCTGTCTCTGGCTTCGCCCTGAAGCACAAAGAACTTTTGAGCCCCACGTTGTCGTGGGAAAACTGTGATCACTAGTGTGAGAGCAAGCGTGGAAATAAGTAATTACGGGTAAATGGATAGATATTCCCCATCCGGTTTTATATGTGGCCACTCATCTGAGACTGATGAGGGAGCAGTTCTGATTAGATCTCACCATTCCCTTAACCCTCTCCAGCCCTTCCCGCACAGCTTTGAGCTTGTTCTTAGAAACCCTTCAGTTCCAATACAACTTCACTCCAAGCACAGCCAAGCAATGTTTAAAACCTCTCATCAGTACCCCACCACTGCCACAAAAATAACCCTGGTCGCCCCTGTATAGTAACTCTATTTGCATCAATCCCACCCTGACAACCCAGCCTTACTCCCATCCCATCTCATCCCATTCTATCCCATCCTGTCCCATCCCATCCTCGCACTCCCCACCACTCCAAGGACAACAAGTGATAAAATACCCAAACTGAACGATGGCCAAAGGTTCCCCAGAAGCCGAAGGCAGGGAATTACTGCTATAATTTTTAAAAATTTGCATAGGTAGGGCTATCACTAACTGGCAGGGATGGGTCCTAGTCTTGGCAGACTCTGCCTAACAGAGGGAAGCTACATGGATCCACTCACCCCCCTTCACCCTCCGTGGGTCCAGGCAGAAGATCAGACCCGGGGCTGAGGGGAGACCTCTGGTGTTTAGTAAGAGGTGAAGAGTCAGGTGGCTTGGGTACATCCGAGTGTGTCGGTGAGGTGTTGCACAACAGCACAGAAACTTATTCCTCCTTCCTTCAGGGGACACCATTTTCCAGCTCTCACCAGTGCAATGTACAATTCCTGCTTTATTACAAGAACCTATTTGGGATTTTTCCTACAGGTCTGACTGCAAACCACGGGGTACCACCAGGTCCAGCAGGAACGGGGGCCCCATGGCCACTTCTCCCCTGCAGAAATCCCATCCCTGCACAGGATGGGAAAGCGAAAGGGGTTAGGGGGACCCTGAGCAACAACCTCCGGAGATTGCCACATCGAACCGAGGATTTGGGGGGCAAAAGAGTGAGAATCATACGCACATCTTTTCTGATCTCAAGTCTTTTTCTGTGGTCTCCTCAGCTGGGAAGTACTTCAAGAGGGGAGAACCAGGTCCTGTTTTCTGGAGATGCCAAGAACCACCACATTGGCAAAGGGCTTTGGGGTTGCTGCCATTACAGAGAAGACACTCTGCTGAGCCCCAGGACCCTGCTTTGGGGCACAGCTCCCATCCAGTCCCCAGCAGCATCCCAAGGAGTTGGGGACACCCAGCACTGCAGGGCCTGAGGACAGCAGCCACTCGCAGGGCTCCCATCTGTGCCAACCAGAACCGACTACCCCAACTGCTGGTATGGGTGCCACTGAGAGAGCTTTGAAAGGATCCCAGCCTGGTTCTTCTCTTCTTTTTATCCATCAGGAAAATTCTAAAAGCCTCCCTGTGAGATGGCTGCACCAGCAGGCAATTATATGTAAATCATCCCAAATTACAGGTGGGTGGTTTCCCTTTCAGGTGTTGATGATGGAGGGCAGACTGGAGCTTTCTAACCCCATCCCATCTCACTTTGGATTCACGTGAAAACCTCTTTGATCCGCCAGCACTGTCTATTTATTAGGGTGGGTTTTTTTTCTGGCCCCTCAATTAGATCCAGTCACTAGAGGCACGGCCAGTATAGAGCCTTGTCTGTTGGCAGTGCCAAGGACTGGAAGAGAGAATCTTATCTAGGGGCACATACTGGGCAGAAAGCACCAAAATATCCCCAAAAGTAGCCTGTGCCAGCCAGCTGGAAGCACCAAGGAGGGCCTCAGTTCCCAACGGTTTTCCCCAATGCCAGGGTGCCCAGAGACGTGTCCCCTCCTTATAAAAGCCACCTGGTTTAAACAGAAAGCAGTACAAACGCAGATTTGGAAAACAGGCAAGAGCCGAAATCCCGGGTGTTTCCGACGCCGAGGGCATCTGCCTCCGGGCTAGCACTGCTCTGGGACAGGGACCCCACGGGGCAGGGCTGGTGGCCCCGCTCTCCCCGGCCCCACCACACAAACCAGCTCTTCGCAGGGAAAGGCTGGGAAAGGCACCCCCAGGGATGGGGGGCACCAACCACCCGCCTCTGCCCGGTGCCCCTGTCCTGGGTCCCGGTGGGCCAGGATGTACCACGGGATGGAGAGAGATTTGCGTAGGCAGCGGACAGCCCAGAAAGCCTTCCCCAGGATACTGGGCCCGGGAGACCCCATCTGAGAGCCACCGCAGAGCCCTCGCTCCTGGGATGAGGACAGACGATCAGGGGACAAAGGACAAACGCCGTCCTTAGTCGCTTCCCCATGCCCACCCTCCCCACCGAAGCTGCTCTTTCCCAGCCAGCCACCCCTGGGGCGCCCCTCGAGAAGGACCCGGTGAGGAGGGGACCGGGGCGACTTTCCAGAGGGAGCCAACGGAGAGGGGACCTCGCAGTCCCGCGGCTCCGGGCAGGATGCGGCGCCGGGACGGCGGTGCCGGGCTGCGGGAGCGGAGGACACTCGGCAGGACGGCGGAGCAGGGGACAGCGGGGCTCAGTCCGTGCTGGAGCGGGGCAGGAGCGGGGCTCGGGCTCCCCGCTACCCGGAGATCACTCACCACTGGAACATGCTGGGAGTGGGACGGGGCGGCCGCTCCGCTGCTGGCCGGGCTGCCCGCGGTCCGGGCGCTTCTCTGCCCTCTTCCTCCTCCTCCTCTTCTTTTTTTCCCCCCCCCCCCTACTTTTTCCTTTTTCCCTCCCCTTGCTCTTCGAGGTGGAGCCAAGAGGGATGGCAGAGCAGGTAGGTTAACTCTTGCCCTGCCCTTTAGTCCCCACCCACCCCCCCCCTCCGGTCGTACCAGCAGGCAGAGACCTCCCCAGTGTTGCCCGGGGAACGTGTTGAAGGGTGACTGCCCGCACGTTCCCGGGGGACCGTCCACGCTGCTGATGGGACAACCAACGGGAGCTGGGAGCTCGGGGGAGTCCCAGCCCGGCCCCGCGGGCACAGTGACCTCTTCGGGGTGCTGTAGCTCTGCCCCAGAGCCTTTAGTGCAAAGGAGCCCAGTTATGGAAAGGGCATCCCAGTAGTCACCCAGAGAGGTGTTTTTGGCAGCTGGGATCTCTGGAAAAACCATGTGGGTCTTTTCTAACCACCACCCAACATGGACCAGTAACTTTGGGATAAATCCCAAAAGGGAGCTAGGGTTTAACACCCTAGTTTCTCATAGCAGCACTGAGATCCCAGCTTTGCTTCTGTGCGCAGTGTGGTTTGGGATCTCTGGGGCAATGGAGCCACACATCTTGCCTTGGGTCCCCACATCTCCTGGGACCTACCCTTCTCCCAAGACTCACATCTCACTCAGGATCCACACCTTGTCAGGGACCAACACTCTGCCCAGGACTCCCATCTCATCAAGCACCCACACTCTGTCCAGGACCCAAAAATCTCCCAGGACCCACATCTCCCCTAGGGGTGTAGGGAGTCAAGAGGAAGAGTTGCTGCAGCAGGAAGTGTCTGTTTGGCATGCCAGGACCTCTCATGGGTCAAATTTCCAACAGCACCACAAACAGGTGAGATGTCCTTCCCTCAGCCCTGGTTTGGGTGCAGTTTCACCAGCATTTCTGCTACATCATGTCAGCATGGGACACCCCGTTGACCATTGAGAAGCAGATTTATGATCTTCCTTTCCTCTTAAATGTAGCATTTCAGTTGAAGGTCTTTGTCAGCCATAAAAATTGGTCCCCATAATTTCTGATATCTGCCTTTTTTGTCACCTTCCCAATCCCACCAGCTGCTCATGACCACCATGAAGTCGGGATGGGAAGCCTGCAGGAAATCCTTTGCAAAATTTCTTTCCCTGTCCAGCAGAGATATCTCAATATCTTTCTCAACAGTCCCTCTGCATTTTTTATGAGGGTCATGGTCTCCTACAGCTCTCACAACCCTTAAGACACACTGAGCTTCTCATGCGAAAGGCTCTTCTATTCCAAGGCTGGGCATGCAGTGGAACCCACACAGCCTCCACTAGCCAAACAACATTTGGCTCTGCACCAAGAAAACCCCAAGTCCAGCCCAGTTTGGGGAGGAAAATTGCATTGCTTTCTCCAGACCTGTTTCTCTCTCCTTATCTCAGCTTATCACTTTCCCGGATGCCCTGCAGCTCCATGTCCTGGAGACTGTGAAAGCTCCCCAGGAAACATTGCCCAAACAGGCTGCACCAGCTCCACAGCATCCCATGACCTTATCACCACCAAGGGTCCCTACATGCCTTCCCTGATTCCTTCCTTGAATCCCAGTGCCCACAGGAAAATCTGTATTTGCAGCATTCATGACCCCAAGAAAATCATGGCCATGGGATTCACTGAGCATCAGCTTGACCAGAACAGGGTGTGAGAAGGACCCATCTCATCCCTGTAGCACAGCAATGGTAGGTACACACCAGCCCATGGCTGGGAATTCACCCCACTCTGCAAAGAGGGGCTCACAGTGGAGGGGGATCCCACTGGAGAACCTCCCTTGCACAAACAGGCACAGAGGGGTGTGAAAAGCAAAACTCCAAGAGATGCAGCCACCATCTCCTCCTTGACACGTGCCCTGGGACCATGATGGGTACAGAAACAGCAGCATCCACTCATGGGGAGCTGCAGTAAATCCCAAAACACATCCCTGGGCTGTGCTGCTCCAGCATGGAAGTGGCAGTGCTGCAGGCCGAGGAGGGCTCTTGGCAGCCGGCAGCAGGGACCTCTGCCAGCCATGCTCCCAGCTTTCCGCCTCTCCGACGGCTGCTTCCGTGCAGGAAAGTGGCAGGGCTGCAAGCACAGGATGATTCTGTGCTGCTGTGCAGGGTTTCAGCTCAAATAACCCCCTCTGGACAGGGAGACCCCCTCCCGCCTCCTCCCGTGTGGGAAAGATGCACGTCCCTCTTCATGAGAGCACTGCAGGCCTGGGGTGTGATGGCTGCACAAAGCTTTACCTCTGATGTTCATTAAAGACTCAAAACCTGTCAGGTCTGGGGCTACTGATGCCAGAGGTAAACACTGTCCTGGGCACCCCTGGCACCACCACCTCCTGTTTCAAGGATGAATCTGAAGATGAAGCAGCATTTTTATGATTTTTTTTTTCCCATCCTTACATGGGAAAGTTTAGGACAAACTTTTCACACTCTCCAGATTCACCCTATGAAAACAGAAAGGCAGCAGGAAGGATAAAATCTAACTGAAAACATATTTCTGTTAAAAAGTCTTCCTCCACACACCTTCTCTTTGCCTCTTGCTGGCACCCAGCAAGAACAGGTTTTACCCAAGCAACCACTACCACTCAGCTAAGAATGAAACATGAAAAAGAGAAACCTGAGTTTTTTTGTTCACCTCAGCAGACCCAGCCACCAGCAGATCCTTGCCATTCCTGCCCAGCCCTGCCTTCAGCAGAGCAGCTGGATCTGTAGTCCTGCCCCTCCTTCACTGCAGCACATTTATTTCTTAGGTATAAGCCATTAGACTGGAATTTGGAGGCACTGGGTGCCTTTTTGGAACTGTTGGCAGTGCTGTGGGTTTCTGGATAAATAATCTTGGGTGGCAGGTGCTGCTCTGGCATAGAAAGGCTCCTTTGCCTTGCACACCACGGGTGATGTCTGAGGTGTGCTGAGCTGCTGCAGCCCTGAGAGAGCTGGCAGGGGACCTCTGAGAAATAGCACTTGAACACGTTATTGTTGCATTGTAAGGGGATGCAACCTGTGGGACCACAAGGCTTTGGAGCTGGCATCAAACAGGGGTGTGGGGCATCATCTGGGTAAAGGGAAAGGGTGAGGATTGGAGCAATGCCCAAGTGGCTAATTTAGATATTCTCAAAGTGAACCGCAATGCTCTTTTTGTTTCAAGAATCCTCTTTTAATTTCAAAGTGGACCTGAACTAAAATATTTTTTAAAAATATAACTACAAAGAAAGAAGTGAGCTTTTTTTATCAGGCTTATGTGATCCCAAAAGACTGGCCAGTGGCAGGTTGACCCAGCCAGTGTCTTCCCACTGATGGTTTGGGGTTTGTTTCACTGGGAAAAGCTGCTCTGGTTTCTTTGATATGGGGGTTTTTTTGTATGTTGTTCTCTGATTTCATTCCAGAAAATTACACATATACAGAAAAAACTCTCATTTCATCTCCCAGCAACTCGCACACCTCCTGGCCACTTGTGCCAACACTGTGGTCCCTGGGCTGGGTTTCCCACACAAGCCAAGGTCCCATTGCCCTGCAACCTGCAGAGACACACAAACCAGCCCTCTCCTCCCAAACCTCTGAGTGCCTGGAGCAGGACCAAGGGCTCAGCCTGACCAGAGATTGGCCACACAGGGTGGTCACATATTTAGGTTTTTCTTCGTTAAACCACTCACCTGTGGCATACACTGGAGCAGGGAGGGAGGTCAACACTGCTATTTGTTTAGCTGAGCCAGACTTAAACCACATCAAGACTTTGCACACTCTCACGAACAAACATCCTGGGTGTGATAGGGTGTGATGTTCCTTTCTCCTTCCACGTTTTCTAAGCACCTTTCACGGATGCTGTGGTAAAGAGCAACCCTGGGAGACTCACCCATCACCGCAGCTCTCACGTGGAATGTGGGGCTGTGACCAGGGACCGCCACTGCCTCTGTCCCCGGGAAAGTCCCCCGGGCAGTTAGGATTAATTATTAACCTGATTTATTGCTGAGTTTTGGAAGCTGGAGCAGACGTCATGTATTGGCCAGGTCTGACGTGGGACACCAGGAAAGACAACCACCCCCACAGAAACCTCCCTCCACTTGCCCACAGGGCCATAAACCAGACCCCAAGTGGGGTGAGTTATTTTACTCATTAACCCTCAGTGCCCCGTGGCTGTTTCCCTCCCAGCACCTCTGCCAGAGTGGGGCGGTGCTGGCTCCCAGGTGGATGCAGGAGAAGGTGTTCTGCCTTCCCAAAGTCAGCTGCTCCGTCCCACTCCATCGGCCTCGGCAGCTCACACACTGAAACACTGGAGGCTGCTGAAACACCTTGAGCCACAGCCGAAAGAAATGCCCACTGCCCTGCTTGGAATCAAACACCATGGGATTTGCATGTTTTCTTCTAAAAACAGAGGAGGAGTGGAAATTGCTTTGCAGGGTGATGGCTGGGACAGTCCCCCCCTTGCTCAGGGGTCCCTGAGCTGCTGTTGCCCTTTGTAGACCCACTTGCCTCTGGGCAGAGAGCACAGTGCTTGTGAGAGGGACACAGACCCCACAGCCACAGTGTTGGGCACGATGGGGTGAGACCTGAGTGTCACAGGCTCAGGGAAGGCAGGGGTGTGACACAGTGTTGGTGGAGGTAATGCTGTGGCAGCTGGGTCCCCAGGTGGGATGCAGCCAGGGCTGGCAGGGAAGCACTCTCCTGGTCTTTGTGCCAGGAGCCACAGGAGCAGGGCAGGGGGAAGCACTCTGCAAATCTGGGTGAGCAAATCCTGGGGCTGGATCCACCCAAGGGTTTGTCTCCTTGGGCTGCCCCTTCCTCAGTTTCTCCAGTGAAAAGCCCCCAGCCTCAGGGCTGCTGCCCAGTGGGGATTCTGCCTGGGATTGGAATCCCTGGGACACCTGGGTCTCCTGAGGAGCCCAGCGTGGCTGTGCTGTTGCTTTAAAGCAGC